AAATTCCATAATATTTTTTTACTTTGTTAATAATTTTTAACACGGGAACAATTTTCGAAATACTAAACAAACTTCGAATTTTTCGAAAAATGGAACTCCTTCAAAATGTAAAATAACAGTAAAAACACAAAGAAAACCGGTAAAAGAAACATCATGAAAGGTAAAAATATGAACCTAAACCAGTTAGAGATCTTCAAGAAGGTTCCCCAAACTGGACTCTGTAGAATACTAAATTTGGCCGGCCCAGTTAAGCATGTAGAATTTAGTAAACATGTAGGATTTATTTTTATGCATGAATTTTAAGAAACATCATTAGTAATTATTAAGAAACATGATGAATTTGTTAATAATTTTAATATATGTAAACATGTAACATGCTTTGTTAATAAGAAACGTCATGAAACAGTATGAAAAAATCGCACAACTTTGTTAATAATTTTTAAGAAACATCATAAATTTTAGTAAACCTGTAGAATTTATTTTTATGCATGTTGCACTTTTTTTAGTACACAGTGTATTTTTTGCAAATACATGTTTTGAACGCGTATTTTAATATATGTTACATATTTTTTGAATATTCATTGAACATTTTTTCATACTTATATAAACATTTCTACGCAAACATTTGTTTACATTATATAAATACTTATTGAAATGTTAGATACATAGTTTTGAAATAAGTGAATATTTTTTGAAATTACACACACATTGAATGATATGATGCAATTTTTGGAAGTGTGCATAGACATTTTTTACATTATATAAACATTTCTTTTAAATCTCATGAACATTTTCTCAAAGTGTTAAATATTTTTTTGAATGTTACGTACTATTTTTCAAATTCCGTCTACATTTTTTAAAGTTATGCGATTTTTTCATACTAAATAAATAATAAACCAGTCTTAACGTCTTTTAATAATAATAAAATGTGCGCTAGGAGCGAGCCCTCGCCCTCCCGTGAGATTTACTAGGAAAGGATCAAATCATACGGATAATTGATGGATCGGATTTTTTTTAGAAAGATAGAATAGAATAAAGGGATACAACAAACACCCATAGATGAAAAGAGGAAATGGATGTCCATCCTCTCCACTGTCCTTGCCGACGGGAGGCTGCACGGAAACACCACGGTTGTACAGCAAGAGCTCCAGCCTGCCGAGATAGTACCCTGATGCCTCGAGGCTGTTGGCCCAGACGAAGGGTAACGATTCACCAAGTCCACACCCAAATGAAGAGTCGCACGTGACCGAGGCTACATCAAACAACGGCTCCACCGGTGAAATCGGAGGGCATCAAAAAGCCGAGTCCACAACAGGATCGCTTCACCCTACACACGCACCACTGTGATCGCAAATGCAAGACTCCGGCACCTCCAGGTCGCACCAAGGTGACACCAACAAAAGAACAAAGAGCAGCCATACCATCTCCAATCCGCTAGTCCCCGCAATCAGGAATCTTGCCCAAGATGAAGGCCTCAAGAGGCGTATAACAAAGTGTTGCCATCATCCGATTTGAAAGAAACTGGATTGATGGATTCCCCTAGAACACTTGAGGAACACGACAGTGCCCTCGACGCCACCTTTAGGAAGGTTACGACGCTCACGAGCGTCGCCATCGCCAAGCCGACAAAGGTCGGGCCATGCTTTCTTCGACGACTACATTGTCCCAAGCCCGAGACCGTACCAACACACCATTCACCGGGACCCGCGGACCCCATGCGTGCGCCGCTGCCACCAATGAAGCAAGGACGTTGGGGCTCAGATCCCCAAGCATCAAGCCTCCCCAAAGCTCAAATGCCTGGCGCGCTACTTCACTGTCAGTCGCGCTCAACCTCCACATCGTGTTGACGAGCCGACCAGCACCAGATCCGTCGCCCCGACTTGCGCCTTCGGCACTGCGAGCAGGTCCACCGGTTAAGGTGACGCGCCATCGCACGAAGAGCTTGCCCAGCCATGTCGTCAGCTGAGGTGGGTTTCGCCTATCAGCCTCATCCTATAGCGCCCATGGCTGAAGGCTAGGTAGTGGAGGGACGAGGCGGCGGCTAGGGTTCACCCATGCCCCTCCCCACCCCCTCATTCGGAATGTTAATTGATGGATCGGATATAACTATACGTCATGGGATTAGGTCAGAATTAACGGCGCAGGATAGGTCTGACAAAATTTCTATCAAACTACTAATAGGAAGGCGTTTTCGGATAGAATTCACCCACACAGATAGATAATCACGATGAACTAATTCACTCTAGTCTCTTTCCTCGCAAAAAAAGACCCTAATAATTGCCACATGTGTGGCACGAAACAATTTCACCCACACATGTGAGTTGAAGAGATTGGACCAAACGCCCTTATGGCCACCCATTATGACATGTTTATTTTTTTTGTTTCTTTCACACATGCATGTAAACAGGGACAAAAACAGATAATGCCAATGGGAATTTTTTAGGTCTTTCAAACTTTATTTTTTGTCTCTTAAATGAAAAATCTGATTGAAAATTCGTTTTCACTATTAAATTTGTCGCGACGAGGACTAGATCTTGCATTGATATGTTTCGACGATATTTTTCGGTGGTCAAAAGTTACCATATCTATCGCACATAAATTGTTATTGTGTTTACACTGGAATTGCCATGATATGTTTCAAATACCTTTTTCTTCTACGTACAAAGTAAATTTTAACATGTTATAAAAACAAAATTTAAGAAACTAAACTTGCCATGGAGAAGTACTAAAATTTAGCATGATCCATGAAATAATTTTGACATGGTTCATAATTAAAAAGAAATTTGTGGTCAATTACTTTAAAAATGCATAATCAATGTTTCAAATTTGCCATGAACCAAAAATTAAAATTTTCGTGAAAACTATTTAAATTTGCCAGGATACATGCACTAAAATTTGCCATGGTTTATCTAATAAATAATTGCCATGATTAAATACTAAAATTGCCATGATACATAAACTAAAATTATCATGATGAATTGCTAAAAAATTGCAATGATACATGAATTAAATTTGTGATGGTTAATTGCCATCGTCAATTAATTAAATTTTCCATGAAAAATAGTTGAAATAGCTTTAAACCTAGAAGAAAGAATAGATGAAACATATATCATGACAACTTTAGTGAAAACATTATGCTGACTTTAGTGTAACATCGATAAAAAAATAGTCTAAACATATCAATATGAAATCTAATTTGGAAGATCTCAAACTAGTTTTGATGATCTCTCTGAGACAAATTTAATGATCAAAATGGATATTTAATCAGATATTTTTAAAAGTTAAAAACATTTTGAAGTCACTAAAAAATCCGCTAATTCTGATGTGGCAAAATGGTTGGTTATAAAGGCGTTTGGACGATGTTGCTTCATGTGACACGTGTGGCACTTGTCATGAAAAAAAATCATCTAGTCTCAGTACTACCCCCTCCGTTCCTAAGTATAAGTTTTTATAGAGATTTCAATATAGACTACATACGGAGCAAAATAAATGAATCTTCACTCTAAAATGCATCTACATATATTCGTATGTGGTTCATAGTGAAATCTTTTCAAAGACTTATATTTAGGAACGGAGGGAGTAGAACCCAGAGGTGACAAAATTCGTGCTTATCATGGGTGGCAAAATTTTACACCGGAACAGGGAGCCGCGGCCGATCCTCTTTATTTGAAGCAGCTGGAAGGTACACATAGTAGTACTACTACGCTATTTTACAGCGGATCTCGGTCACCGTCGTGGCCGGCGGCCCTGCGCGCGCTTACTCACACGAAGGGAGGCGGGACGTCGGACGGCTGCGGAGGCACCACCTCGGGCGGGGTGCGCGGTGGGTCCACCTCCGGCGGCGGCGTCGGGATCACGTCGGGGTTCGGCGGCACGGCCGGGATCTCCGGCCTCGGCGGCGATGGCACGAACGGCCCCGGCTGCTCCGGGCTGGGAGGCGTGCCCGGCACCGGCGCGCCAGGCGTCGGCACGTCCACGCCCGGGGGCGCGTTGAACTCCGGCGGCATGTCGATGCCTGGCATCTCCTGCGGCGGCCGCGCCGTGCCCGGCATCTCCTCGGGCGGCTGGGCCGTGGCCGGCACCTCCTCGGGCGACGGCACCGCGGGGAACCCCGGCGGCGTCGGCCCCGGAGGAAACCCCGGCGGCGTGGTGGAGCTGCACCGGACGCCCACGCGCCGACCGGAGCACGCCGTGCCGCGCAGGCGAGAGCGCAGGCCGCTGCTCCCCGCGGCCGCGGCCGCCGTGCACCAGGCCGGCAGCGACGCCCTCGCGAGGCTCACCGACATCATCACCTGCTGCCCGGAGCTAAGCCAAGGTCGATGATACAGTCTACAAAAGCAAAAGCGGGTGCGCAACTGCGCAAGGAGAGAACCACGGAGCAGAGGCAAGCGGCAGTGCCGACGCACTTTAACGGCCTTCACGTCGACACGCGTTCGGCGAGGAGACGCGCGGCGCGCGCCATGGCACGTGGCCCGCGCGCCGCGTGCCGGGACGAGGCGGACACGTGCCCGCATGGCCGGACGATCGAGTTTCGGTACTGCCTGGTCGGTCGACTCCAAGCTTATCACTTTTAGAGAGTGATAAAAATTGATCCCCGGAGAATGATCTTGAAGTAAAAGTAATAGTAATAATCTTGGAGCAGATCAGTGAGTAGATGGATTTACATTTACATAGATAGAAAAGGCAAGGCCAGCACTAGTTGTAGTAATTCAGGAGAGTCAATGGCCCAACGCTACTGGACTGGAGTCTTGAGGAAGGCGACGACGTGCGCTGCAGAGCTCTCTCTACGTCGGCAATGGAGCTGGAGCTGCTGCTGCATCGACTACACAAGACGAACGAACAAAATTCTTCTCTTGCCGAAAGGAAAAAACAGAGAGCTCCACGGCACATCGGCCTCCATTATTTCGCAGCGCCATGCGGTGTTCGTCTGTCTGGACTGGACCGGACCGGAGTCACCTCGATGAGTGATGATTAAGCCGTCGGCGAGACGAGGATCGGACTCAGGAGGAGAGCAGGCGGCGGAGCTGGAGGAGGTGCTCCTCGTTGGAGATGTTGAGGGAGAGGCGCAGGTTGGTGAGCAGCGACTCCTGCTCCCACGTCAGCGGCCCGGACGCGTGCAGCGCGCGCACCGTCGACCGGTACGCCTCCAGCTCCAGCTCGTGCACGTCCACGCCCGCCGGCCCGCCGTCGCTCAGCGCGCCGTCCGAGTCCGACGACGACCACGCGGCGCGCGGGGAGGCGGCCACCACGCGCGACTGGGCGTCGCCGCGCCCCACGGAGCAGCAGCCCCCGTGCCGGCCGCTGCCGACGCCGACGCCGCCAGCGTCGTCGTTCGCGGAGCTGCAGCTCGCCACCGAGCACTCCGCGGCGGCGGCCTCTTCCCTGGCCACCTGGAAGAGTCTCCTCTGGCTTGGCTGAGGAGAGAAATCAAGAACTTCGGACGATTTCCTCTTCTTGCCTGATCTTCTCAGCACATCAGCAGGCAGCTGCTTGCCCCTTCGGGTCACCTGGAGAAGATGGATAAACAGTGAGAAAAGTTTGAGAAATTGCACAACTGTTGAACAGTCGGAAGAAAGTGTGACGCCTCAGTTACAGACAGAAGTCTGGCAGTGGACAAATTATGAGATTTGGTGGCAATTTGTACAATTCATTCATGGTGGTGCCGACCAACATATTGTATCTATCGTCAGTGTGTGCGTTTGCTTCCTTCAGAGCTTAGGTACAGGTTGAATTACTTCAACTGAGCTACATTTTTCCTCCTTAAAAGCAGCAAATGCTTCAACTGCTTGGTAGCTACATTTGCAGAGAAAAACAGAAAAGCAATGCGCAGGAACACCTCCACTACTCATCAAAAGTAGTGAAATCAAGCTGAGTTGATCCCATCTCAGCCGTGCTAGTTCAAAATTGCCCATCAAGCATGTGGACTTGATATAAGCATTTTCCAGGACTTGATTAAAGTACTGAACTCTGCAAACCTTTTCCCTTCCTTCCAGTCTTTTAGGGCATGGCTATTTCAGCACAAGCTAAAAAAACTCATGTCTACGGCCGGTCTAGTCCTCCCCTTCTACTTCTAAAGGTGCCTAGCAGTGACCATATTCCTAGAGTACCGAAATAACAAGCAGCTTCATGGGTAGTAAGTAGCAAGAAAGAATTCTAAGTAACAACAATGGATATATAATGTGACCAGAAACATCATGAAAGAGTATGAACTATTAACTGTCGAATAAGCGACTCATTTCAGAGATGAAAAGTACCACATTTACATGCTGCAGGAACTAACTGGATGTTGCTTACCTTGTTATCAGCTGCAGGGAACTGCTTGCCATAAGGAGGAGCTGTGGGAGCATCTTGTGGTTGTGGAACCCTCAAGCTAGAAATGTGGAACTCTTTCAACTGGATGCAGTCGGCGAGCCTGATGACAAAGTAATCATTCTTCACAATCTTTGCAATCTTGCCAAGCTTCCATGTGTTATGATCAAACACCTCGGTCACATCTCCAATGATCCATCTGCATCTTGTCTGATGAACAACAGCTGGTTGGTTTGGCCTGAAACCATAGCCCCTCTGCACCGTGACCGGATCGGCCTCCCTAAAACTGTTTTTCAGCTTCATGATTCTACTCCTGCACAATGGGAGGTAGTAACAAGGTCAAGATATGCACCGGCAGAGCAGCACTGAAAAGAAAGGACATAAATATAATATAATCTTGTTCTCCCTTAATGGATCCAACCAAAAAACAGGATAATTGTGATTGATCATATGCAAATATCTGAATATGTCATAGCAAAAATTGACTAGTCGTCCACTGCCAATCAATTTCGGCATGGGAAAGGATCACCAATGATCTACAGAAAAATTCTGATTGTATGTGTACATGTCCATGTAGTTAAACTGAATTGGGACAAAGAGTCAACACCAATTCAGATCCATCTCCCTGTAGGAGCTCAGAACATGAACAGCTGCTCAAATTCAGAAGTTTCATCAACGTAGGAACAGAACCAAATTGGACCCCTTTAACACAAAAAAAACAGAACAGAAGTAAACACCTAATCCAGGCTAAACCGATCGATCTCCCAATCCAGATCCACTGGCATATTCATGGACGCATCAGAACCAGGAACACACGAGATCGATCAACAGAGAACACACACAAGAACGGAAGGAAATTCCGGCGCAAGGAAACCCAACAAACCAAGTCATCATCAGGACAGAAAAAGGATCAGTTTTCGTCAACAAGAAACATTCAGCAGTTACCAACTTGACTTGGTTTCATTCAGTTCTCGTTTTACCCCAATACTCGATCGGGATTCCCAGCTAAAAAAGACGAAGCACAAAACAAGGTGGAAACCAAGAGCAATCCATCCACAGAACTCGGAACACTTGCAGCCGGTGGAAAAAAACACAAACATTGGGCATTGACGATCCAAAGCCATCAAAGGCCGGGAAATGGCTGCGTGCAGAAACAACAAGAGCAGTCCGGAGAGAAACAGATTGGTACATCGAACTGGAAACGGGCAGCGGGCAGCTCGGATTGGGATCAGGAAGTGCAGGGGATCCATCCGATCCTCGCCGGACAATCCCATCAAGATGCAGAAATTAAACGGGGAAGTAATCCAGTCGTCACCAACCTGCGGCAGAGCTGTGGGTGGATGCGGCTTGGCCAATCCCAGGAACGGGAGAGGAGAGGAAGCAAGGCAACCTCGGTATGGTGAGTGCGAATCCTCCTCCTCCTCTGATAGATTAATCCCCAATTGGGTTGCTCCTCCAACCCAACCCAATTGGGATTAAGCCGCGGGGGCGAGGGCAGAGGGAGGGAGGGAGGAGACAGGCAGCACTTGTTTCTGGTAAAAGGAAAAAAGGGAAATAAAACCGAGCTGCGGAGAAATCACCACCACCGAACCCCAAGAATAGAAAGCGAGGAGATTTGGAAGGAGCAATAGTGGAGAGAAATTTGGAGACTGATCGGCGACCAACCTGGGAGGGGCGGAGGAGGATTAATCAGTAATCGCTGGGGCGGTTACGGGGCGAATGAGGTGGATGGATGGACGGAGGGAGGGCCAGCCGGGCCTCCCCTTGGAACTGGCGTGCTTTCTTGCTGCTTGCTGATGGTTGTTCTTTCCTTCTGTTGTGTTCTTGGCTCTTGTTTCCTCCCTCCTTCTCTACATTTTTTTTTCTGATTATTTTATGCCTCCTTAAAATAGGTTACTTTTTGAGCATTGGCTAATGGAGATGTTTGATGTGAGCTGCCAATTGATGTCTTGACTAGCAATGTGCTTGTGCGTTGCAACGGATCCAAAGTAGAATACATGTTCACAAATTTGAAAAAAAAAACACTCTAGTTTTGATATACATATATCACTAAAAAATATATTGTGTTTCACTCAAAATATACTCCTCGGGTTGTTTTGATGAGGTGAGAGAGGGATGTGGTTGGTTTCAAGATACTAATGGGTTCTGCAAATTGGAGCAGAGAAGTGGGATTCTTGCAAAAAGGCCACAACTTACCTCACAGTCGTTAGATGCACATCTAATGGTCAGAAATGACGGATGAAAGACACGCCATCATCATCAACTGAGTCTTTTATAAGAGTAGAGAAATGCCGATGAATGGCACGAGTTGGGGAGTCTAGCTGAAGGTCCCGCATGTCGGGTCGGGTCACGAATTTGAAACATCTTATCATTGATTTTGTGAGAAACGACGTCGATGATGTGCTCTTTGCAATTCGCAAAGACCAGAATTTGTTGGCCTGGTTATGTGAAAAAAGCAGGCTAAAATATTTTTGTCTCGCTTCTCGAACGAGCAACTAGCTAAACTCGAAGAGCACAAAAGGCCACATCACAGCCGAAGCCGAACACCTTGAGAGAACGACCATAATATCATCATCCCAACTAGATCTACGCACCATCCATCAAAAATGCCGACGAAATGACAAGTGGAAGGTGGGAACCATCCGAACCCGACCAAGGAAGACGTTGTTTAAGGGCCTATTCGACAGCTCTCCGCTCCTGGAGCGGTCGGAGCGGGAGCGTCCTAGCGCCTATTTGTGCGGAGTGGCCAAAGTGGCGCTCCGTGTACTCCTATATTTTGCGGAGCTAGATGATTGCCGAACAGGCTCTAAGAGGGGCCAGTGATGGAGTACATTGTGCCCCGAAGGTTCATGCCCACGCTTCACAGTAGTGACCACCGTCGAAGCAACGCAACCCCTCCCCGCCACGCGCGCGCACACACACCGCAGCACTTACATAATTCATGGTAGCACATGGTATGTGTGCCTAGTAAATTAAGATTGAAATTAGAGGGGAGAAACAACAATTACGTGATGGAAAAAATTATTATCACCAAGTGAAACACGCGTGAAGTGCTTTCGTGCAGTGTACTGCTACCCACCCAGGCCAAGGGTATGTATGCTTCACGTTCTCCTGGGAGAATTGGCGACGAGAACAATGCTGCATCTCGCTAGCGAGGTTGCTTTCTGGTGTGATAATTGTGCGACAGCTTTCCTCGTTGGTGTGTTTAAGCTAAGCTAATATTATCATCTGATGCTTCACCCTAAGCCTAATTTAAGACAAGAAAACAAGTCTACAACAACACCAGGCTGGTTCAGCGTCTTGCAGGTTATTACTACTTTCTTTCTGATGAATTGTTTCTGGAGAAGTACTTCGGTACAACCCCCTCCCCCTAAAACGTATATTGGGTAGGATGGTCGTTTCATCTTTGATATAGGAATACCCGCCCGTCGCGTACGTCCACCCGCGTTGCCGTACACATGTCTGTGTATGCCGCACCCGTCGTCCGTACACTAGCCCCCCGTATACCATACGTCGCCGTTGTATACTGATCAACTAATTATTTTAGGGATGATGTTTCATGGTGTTTGATTGATCTTAAAATTTGTTTGACATGTACAGATGGAGAAGGAGACCGATTATGATGGCGATGATTACGACGACGACAACGGATCCTCGTCATTGAATATGGACCAACCTGCAAGTTTCGATGAACCTTATAGTGGCAATGTAAGTATGATCAACATTGATAAAAAAACATTAAAGACGATCAACCGCATAGACACTTACATGTATTTTTTCGCATCATGCAACTACATGATGATAACGATGATGATTTGGATATAGATGATTCATTTGCTGAAAGTGCACTCCAGGTATGTTTTAAAATATGTAGTACAAGAAATGACATAATTACTGCATGAGCACTTACATGTATTTTTTTGAAATGTGCGCAGATGGACGCGGACGGGGACTTTGAGAGGAATATTGTGGATGATAAAAGTGACAAATAGCACGTTGATGCATCTCATGATGACAGCTCAAGCAAAGTAAGTTTTGAAACTTACATATATTAAATATTAAAATAATAACTGACTGACATACATGGTTATATGCCTTATTTTTACAGGGAGATGTTAATGGTCCTAGCGGGATGGATGAGCATGTTGTTGATGATGATTTTAATTTTGACATCGCATTTGATGAATATCAACAAGATTCATTGGACAGGTATTGGAAGGTGATGAGGAAGACGTTCAGGTCATTAGGAGAGGCTTACACTTTCTATAACCAGTACGCTAAGGACCATGGTTTCAGTGTTAGAAAGGACTCGCGGAAATTTTCGAAAGGTCCTGAGGGAGGTATGCGCTTGAGGAGGTACCTGTGTTCGAGAGCTGGAAAACGACAGGTAAAATTTTGTACAATGGAAGGCAGGACTGTTGGGGAACATAGCAAGCAATTTCAAAAAAATTCCTACGATCACGCAAGATCTATCTAAGATATGCATAGCAACGAGAGAAGGGGAGAGTGTGTCCACGTACCCTCGTAGACCGAAAGCGGAAGTGTTAGTTAACGCGGTTGATGTAGTCGAACGTCTTCGCGATCCAACCGATCAAGTACCGAACGTACGTCACCTCCGAGTTCAGCACACGTTCAGCTCGATGACGTCCCTCGAACTCTTGATCTAGCAGAGGGTCGAGGAAGAGTTCTGTCAGCACGACGGCATGGTGACGGTGATGGTGATGTGATCCGCGCAGGGCTTCGCCTAAGCACTACGACGCTATGACCGGAGGAGTAAACTGTGGAGGG